TTCTTTTGATGCTTCCTGCATCAATATTTTGCCTACAGAATCCCTCAAAATTGCAACTCGAGGCTTGACTTTTTTCTTCAGTTCTTTCAGCTTGAGAAACGCCAAGCGTGTTCTTCCCTTTTGGTTTTTTAACTTCAGGTCTTTGCACATGTCATTATAATATTTTACTTTGTCTTCTCAAGCTCCCCTTCGAAATCTTCTGTTTAGCTCTTTTACTTCATCATTTCTTCCATTTGCTTTAGCTACTCTACATTCAAGAGCAAGTTTCAGAGTCTCCTCTGACATCCATTTTGGTCCTTTCTTTCTTTCCTGTCTTTTTAATGACCTTTTGCTTTCTTCATATAATGTCCTTGATGTCATCCCGGAACTGGTCTGGTCTTCGGTCATTAGTGTTCAATTCATCAAATCTATTCTTGAGATGGTCTCCAAATTCAGGTGGGATATACTTAAGGTTGTATTTTTGGCTCTTATGGACTTGTTTTAATTTTCTTCAGCTTCAACTTGAACTTGTATATGAGCAATTGATGGTCTGTTCCACAGTCAGCCCCTGGTCTTGTTCTGAAAGATGATATTGAGCTTTTCCATCATCTCTTTCCATAGATGCAGTTGATTGGGTTCCTCGTTTTCCATCCGATGAGGTCCACGTATATAGTGGCTGAAAACCTGGTTGCATAGTGGTTAAGCGCTATGGCTGCTAACCAAAATGTTGGCAGGTTGAATCCACCAGGCACTCCTTTGAAACCTTATGGGGCAGTTGTATTCTGTCCTATAGAGTCACTATGAGTCAGAATCAACTCGACAACAATGAGTTTGTTTGGTTTTTTTTTTTTGGTTTATGTTGTTGAAAAAATGTATTTGCAATGAAGAAGTCTTTGGTCTTGCAATATTCTATCATGCAACCTCTGGCATCACTTCTATCACCAAGGTCATTTTCCAACTACCAATCCTTCTTCTTTGTTTCTAACTTTCACATTCCAATCACCAGTAATTATCAGTGTATCTTGATTGTATGTTTGATCAATTTCAGACTGCAGAAGTTGGTTAAAAATCTTCAATTTCCTCATCTTTGGCATTAGTGGTTGGTGCGTCAATTTGAATAATAGTCATAGTAACTGGTCTTTCTTATAGGCATATGGATATTGTCCTATTACTGACAGCTTGTACTTCAGGATAGATCTTCAAATGTTCTTTTTGATGATGAATGCAATGCCGTTACTCTTCAATTTGTCATTTGCGGCATTGTATATGACTGTCTGGTTCAAAATGGCCAATACTGGTCTATTTCAGCTCGCTAATCCCTAGGATATTGATGTTTATGCATTCCATTTCATTTGTGATGACTCGAAAATTTCCTAGATTCATACTTTGTACATTCCACGTTCTGATTATACATGGATGTTTGTGGCTGTTTCTTCTCATTTTGAGTCACGTCACATCAGCAAAAGAAGGTCCCAAAAGCTTGATATCATCCACATCATTAAGGTCAACTCTACTTTGAGAAGGCAGGTCTTCCCCAGTAGTAATATGAGTGCCTTTCAACCTGAGGGGCTCATCTTCTGGCACTATATCAGACAATGTTCTGCGGCTATTCATAAGTTTTTCACTGGCCAATTTTTTTCAGAAGTAGACTGCCAGGTCCTTCTTCTTTGTCTGTCTTAGTCTTGAAGCTCTGCCAAAACCTGCCCACCAAGGGTGACCCTACTAGTATTTGAAATACAGGTGGCAAAGCTTCCCGTATCACACCAAAACACAACCCACCACAGTACGACAAACTGACACACACGTGGTGGGACAGATACTAACTGGGAGCAAACTTTCTGCAATGATAGAAATGTTCCATAGTCTCAGCCCAATATGGTAGCCACTAGCCACAGGTGGCTACTGAGCACCTGAAATGTGGCTAGTGGATTGAGTGAATGGCTTTTTAAGATTATTTAATTTAAATTAATTTGGATTTTAATTTATATTGGACAGTTCAGCTCTAGGGTGTTGGAAATATTCTGTCTACTGATCTGAGTATTGGTTACATGGATAAAAAGCCACTGAGCTGTATACTTAAAATTTATTCACTTTACAAGCTTTATTGTATGTATTT